TTAACATTTTTACGTGTAGTTTTCTAGACTTTAAAAAATGTATACGTGGATATATAAAATGATAAGACATTCTTTTTTAACTATTTTATTCAGCTTTATTGAGGTATAAACTACATATAGTAGTTCTCTAAATTTTTAAAAAATTCACTGATTTTTAAGTGCACAGCTCAATGAATTTTGACAATGTATATAGTCATATAATCATCACCATAATCAGGATATAGAATGTTTTCATTGCCCCAGAAGTTTCTTTGTGCCTCTTGGTGAGTCAGTTCCCTCCTCAGCCTGTAACAACCACTGATCTGTTTTCTGTTGTCACAGTTTTGCCTTTTCTAGATCTCCATATTGGTGGAATAATAGAGTGTGTAGAATTTGGGTTCTACTTCTTCATTAAGCTTGCTTTTGCAATTCATCTATTTTATTGTATAATTTGTTCCTTTTTATTGCTGAATATTCCAGTCATTCATATTGGTTTTTTTCATATTGTCTTTCCATGGTCGAAAGTCACCTATTGTACAATTCCATCTATTGTAATGTCCAGAAAAGGCAAATCTATAGAGACAGATAGTAGATTAGTGATTGCCAGGGAGTTGGGAGTAGGAACAGGGACTGACTGCAGACTAGCATGAGGAAGCCCTTTTTGGGATGATGGGAACATTCCAGAATTTAGCATCATGATAGATGCACAACTCTGTAAATTTACTAGAAATCACTGAATTGTGCATTTACAATGAGAGAATGTAAATGTAAATGACATGTAAATGACAAATAGGTTAAGATGAAAGGAAAAAATCCTTATTTTTTATTTTACAAGTCTATAATTTGCATTTTAGAGTCTTTTAATGTTCAAAACTTATGGGCAAATCTGTAAACAGCATGAAGTCTCTGAATTATCACTTTCATTATTTCTTTTAACATTCTTTTTTTTTTATCTTCTGTTCCATTATGTTTCATCATAGGATATTGAATATAGTTCCCTGTGCTATACATTAGGACCTTGTTGTTTATCCATTCTGAGTGTAATAATTTGCATCTACCAATCCCAAACTCCCAGTCCATCCCTCTTCCTCCCCATGCCCCCTTGGCAACCGCAAGTCTATTCTCTTTGTCTATAAGTCTGTTTCTATTTTATAGATAGGTTCCTCTGTGCTATATTTTAGGTTCCACATATAAGTGATATCATATGGTATTTGTCTTTCTCTTTCTGACTTATCTCACTTAGTATGATAATCTCTAGTTGCATCCATGTTGTTGCAGATGGCAATGTTTCATCTTTTTTTATGGCTCAGTAGTATTCCCTTGTATATACGCACTACATCTTCTCTATCCGTTCATCTGTTGATGAACATTTAGGTTGTTTCCGTGTTTTAGCTGTTGTGAACTGTGCTGCTATGAACATAGGGATGCATGTATCTGTATGAATTGTAGTTTTGTCCAGGCATATTCCCAGGAATGGGATTGCTGGATCATTCTGGTAATGATTGCTGGTAATTCTATTTTTAGTTTTCTGAGGAACCTCCATACTATTTTCCACATTGGCTGCACGAACTTATATTCCCACCAACAGCACGGGGGTTGGGGGCTTGAAAGGGCAAAGCTTTGTGTGGCGTATATAAAAGATCTTGAATTTCTGGTGGGCTTATAGCATTCTGTTGCCCAGATGATCTGTAATTTAACAAGGCACTTCCTGAAAACTATTTGGATTGCTTGTAGCTTTTGCTGTGCCAAATTGCACTGCAGTGCACATTTTTATACATCTGTTAACACGTGTCTGTTTCTGTAAGCTAAATTGCTAGAAATGGAATTGCAGGTCAAGGGATGCGTGTGAATTTGTAGGACTTTTCCATCCATAAGGTCGATGTATGCAGAGCCCCAGCCCCTACTCTTCTGACAGCCCAGGCATTAATCAGTGGTTTTCATCTTAGCCAAGTAGTGAGTGAAAAGCAACATCTCATTGCTTCACCTTGTAGTTCTCCGTTTACTCCTGAGGCTGAACATCTTTTTCTTATGTGAATTGGTTATTTGAAGGCTTTTGTAAAGCATCTATTTTTGTTAATCATAAATTTAATAAAAGTTATATAAAACTACATTGGCTTCCCATGTAGATCAGCTGGTAAAAAATCCACGTGCAATGCAGGAGACCTGGGTTCAGTCGCTGGGTTGGGAAGATCCCTTGGAGAAGGGAATAGCTACCCACTCCAGTATCCCGGCCAGGAGAATTCCATGTGGTCTCAAAGAGTCGGACATGACTGAGCAACTTTCACTTTCACTTTCTTTCATGGCAAAAATGCATAATAGAAAGTGTACCCATGTTCAAAGAAGCCTTATTCACAATAGAGAAAATGTGGTAGCAACTCAAGTGTCCATCAACAGATGAATGGATAAACAAAATGTCATATGTCCATACAATGAAATATTATTAAGCCTTAAAAAAGGAGTGAAATTCTGATTCATGCTCCAACATGGATGAACTTTGAAGACATTATACTAAGTGAAATAAGCTGGTGACAAAAGGATAAATACTGATTATTTCACTGACATGAGGTCCTGAGAGTAATGAAATTCATAGAAACATAAAGTAGAATAGTGCTTGCCAGTGGCTGGAGGGAGGAGGTAATGAGGAATTAGTGTTTAATGGGTGTGGTGTCTCAGTTTTACAAGATGAAAATAGTTCTGGTGTTGGATGGTGGTGATAATTGCATGACAATATTGATGTACTTAATGTCACTGAAATGAAAATGTGTAAGATAGTAAATCTTATGTATATTTTACTACAAAAAATTAAGAAAAAACTCTTGAAAAGTAAAAATCCCTTCAAAACTGTACTTGATAAGTACATATTTCTCCAGTTATTTTGCCTATATGAATTTTAAATATTTTAAAATAAAAATGGGTTATTATACTAGTGCTTTACAATATTCCCTATATTTCATTTTTAAGCAGTTCTATTCAGATCCAGTTTAAATACCATGCAATCAACACACTTAAATTGTGCAATTGAGTGGCTTTCAGCATATTCACAGAATTATGTATCCATCACTACAGTACATTCTAGAACATTTTCATTACCCTAAAAAGAAACGCCACTCCCCTCTACTTCAGTTCAGTTCAGTTCAGTCGCTTAGTCACGTCCACCTCTTTGCAACCCGATGGACTGCAGCACACCAGGCTTTCCTGTCCTTCACCACCTCCCAGAGCTTGCTCAAACTCATGTCCATCAAGTCAGTGATGCCATCCAACCATCTCATCCTCTGTCATCCCCTTCTCCTCCTGCCTTCAATGTTTCCCAGCATCATTGTCTTTTCCAATGAGTCAGTTCTTCACATCAGGTGGCCAAAGTATTGGAGTTTCAGATTCAGCTTCAGTCCTTCCAATGAATATTCAGGACTGATTTCCTTTAGGATGGACTGGTTGGATCTCCTTGAAGTCCAAGGGACTCAAGAGTCTTCTCCAAGACCACACTTCAAAAGGATCAATTCTTCAGCGCTCAGCTTTCTTTATAGTCCAACTCTCTCATCCATATATGACTACTGGAAAAACCATAGCTTTGATTAGATGGGCCTTTGTTGGCAAAGTAATGGCTCTGCTTTTTAATATGCTGTCTATGTTGGTCATAGCTTATCTTCCAAGGAGCAAGCGTCTTAATTTCACGGCTGCAGTCATTATCTGCAGTGATTTTGGAGCCCCAGAAAAATAGTCTCTCACTGTTTCCATTGTTTCCCCATCTATTTGCCATGAAGTGATGGGACCGGATACCATGATCTTAGTTTTTTGAATGTTGAGCTTTAAGCCAACTTTTTCACTCTCCTCTTTCACTTTCATCAAGAGGCTTTTGGGTTTCTCTTCGCTTTCTGCCATAAGGGTGGTGTCATCTGCGTATTTGAGGTTATTGATATTTCTCCCAGAAATCTTGTTTCCAGCTTATGCTTCACCCAGCCTGGCATTTCTCATGATGTACTCTGCGTATAAGTTAAATAAGCAGGGTGACAATATACAACCTTGTTGTACTCCTTTCCCAATTTGGAACTAGTATGTTGTTCCATGTCTGGTTCTAAGTGTTGCTTCTTGACCTGCATACAGATTTCTCAGGAGGCAGGTAAGGTGGTCTGGTATTCTCATCTCTTGAAGAATTTTCCACAGTTTGTTGTGATCCACACAGTCAAAGGCTTTGGCGTAATCAATAAAGCAGAGGTAGACGTTTTTCTGGAACTCTCTTGCTTTTTCTGATTCAGTGGACGTTTGCAGTTTGATCCCTCTACTGTCACCCTTTTTATCTCTGTGGATTTGCCTATTCTGGACGTTTTTATATAAGTGGAATCATATAATACATGGTCCTCTGTGACTAGATACTTTCACTTAGCATGATGTTTTCAAGATTCATTAACACTCAGTGTATCTCAGTACTCCACTCCTGTTCATGGCTGAGTAATATTCCATTAAATGTATAGGCCACATTTTATTTATCCATTCATCTGTTGATGGACATTTGGGTTTTTCTTCTGTTTTTTAGCCATTAGGAGAAATGCTTCTATGAGCACTCACCTGAGTTTTTGTGTGGAAGTATGTTTTCATTTCTCTTGGGTATATACCTTAGAATGGGGTTGTTAGATAATGTGATAAACCTATGTTTAAACATTTGAGGACCACCCCCTTTTATTTTTACAGTTAACTATAAGACTTGAATTTGTTCCTATGTCAACACATCTAGACATACTTCTCACATCTTAACTCCTGGATAGCATTTCATTTAATGAGAATATCATGGTTTACATATTCATGCCATGTTGATGGACAATATGTAGTAGTGCAGATCCTTTTCTGAAGAGCCTTTGGGTCATTTCCATTTTTTGACAACATAAACCATCCTGCTGTGAACACCTTTGTGCCTTGTGAGATATTTCTGCAGATTGCATCCCCAGACATGGTGAGGTGAAGGTTTTATCTGTCTTTCGGCCAGTCTGGTTCTGGCCTCATTCTGACCCGGTTGCCTTATTCCCCAGGGGACCAACCAGGCACTATGGCGCAGAAGGACCAGCTCAGTGATGATGAGAAGTTCCTTTTTGTGGACAAAAACTTCATCAACAACCCAGTGGCCCAGGCTGACTGGGCTGCCAAGAGGCTGGTCTGGGTCCCTTCGGAGAAGCAGGGTTTTGAGGCAGCCAGCATCAAGGAAGAGAAAGGGGATGAGGTGATCGTGGAGCTGGTGGAGAATGGCAAGAAGGTCACAGTCGGCAAAGATGACATCCAGAAGATGAACCCGCCCAAGTTCTCCAAGGTGGAGGACATGGCAGAGCTGACGTGTCTCAACGAAGCCTCTGTGCTGCACAACCTGCGGGAGAGGTACTTCTCGGGACTCATATACGTGAGTATCTTGGGGAAACCGATCATTTCTTGCTGGTCTCCTGCACCCCTGAGGGAGTGGAGAGGCTTGCAGATGTCTTTGGGGTGCAGGTTGGGAGGCTGAAATTTTCATTGAGGGAGGTTGCATGGTGGGGTGGAATCGTTCAGACCTGGGTTCCCATTCACCCTGCCCTATCTAGTTCTGTGATGTTGAACAGGTTATTTCACCTGTTGAAGCCTCAGTTTTCCCATCTGCAAAATGAGATCACCCTCTCCCCACGTAAATGAGATCCACAGATCCCATGTGGTCACATGGTTGCGTGGTCCATGCTCAACAGATTTCAGTGAAGTAGTTCCCTGGTCTTCTACCGTCTTGGAAATAAAGGAGAACTCAACTTCCTTGAGAAGGCTGATCCATCCCACAGCCAAGTAGGTAGGAGACATGAGGATCCTGGCGAGGTTTGGTGGAGACCTGCCCTGTCACAAGTGGGAATGACTAGATTGGACCTGGATTCCTCTGGGTTGATCGTGCAGGTCAGAGTGAACTAGAGCTGCAGTGTCCAATATGGCAGCCACCGGCCACATGTGGCTAACTAAATTTAGATGTAAAGTAAGTGAAAAGTGAAAGTGTTAGTTGCTCAGTCATGTCTGACTCTTTGCAACGCCATGGACTTGTCACTCACTAGGCTCTTCTGTCCATGGAATTCTCCAGGCAAGAATACTGGAGGGCATAGCCATTCCCTTCTCCAGGGGATCTTCCGGACCCAGGGATCGAACCCGGGTCTCTTGCATTGCAGGCGGATTCTTTACCATCTGAGCCACCTGGGAAGGCCTGATGTAAACTAATTAAGCATCAATATTTTAAAATTCACTTCTTCCATTGTGCTGGCTACATGTGAAGTGCCCACCTGACACCCGTGGCTAGTGGTTGCCGTATTGGACAGCACAGGTGGAGAACATCCCCATCCTTTCAGAAAGCTCTGTTGGACAGTCTGGACTGGATGATGTGTAACTCAGGGGTACAGATTCTTTTTGGGCTGGACCAGCTCCCTAGGATATAGAAGGACATGGTAGCCCCATCAAGCCAGACTGGTGGACAGAGGGCATCCCACTCCAGCCTTTTGTCTTGCCTCTCAGAAAGGGTACATCTGTCCTTTGGGTAAGTTATTTAATTTCACTGACATTTTGTTTCCTTCCTTGTAAACTGAATACAAGAATAGTACCTGCCTCATAGAGTGGGTTTGGAGTAGGAAATGGCAATCCACCCTAATATTCTTGCCTGGAAAATTCCACGGACCGAGGAGCCTGGCGGGCTGCAGTCCATGGGGTTGCAAAGAGTTGGACACTACTGAGTGAGTGAGCACCTGTGCATACATGGAGTGGGTTACTCTGAAAAGAAAGCACATGGCATGCTTGCTGGCACGTTGGAGGCACTCAGCATGTTAGGTATTGTTTTTATTGGTTATGCTCATTTTTGTCATTGCCAGAGAGATATTCTTGGATTCTTTGCAAACTTACATAAACAGTCACCTCTGTCTTGAGGCCCTGCTGGTCTTGCCCTTCATGCTTTGCCACATGAAAATTACAAACCCCCATTGTCATCTCTAAAAATGTCTTGCAGATTTTTTTCCTAATTAGGAAAGTGAGGCACATTCATTCCAGAAGATATGGAAAATTCAGAAAAGCCCAGCAAACACAAGAGTCAATCCTCCCCCAGAGATAACAGCTGATAAGATGTTTATGTTTCTTTGTGAGAATAGTGCATGTTTATGTATTGAAAAGGAACTTCCCTGCTGGCTCAGTGGTAAAGAATCCGCCGGCCTATGCAGGAGATGCGGGTTCAACCCCTAGGTCAGGAAGATCCCCTGGAGGAGGAAACAGGCAACCCACTCCAGTATTCTTGCCTGGGAAATCCCATGGACAGAGGAGGTTACAGTTACAGTCCATGGGGTTGCAAAAGAGTCAGACATGACTTGGTAACTAAACAACAACAATGTGTTGAAAAGTCTGTGCACACAGTCTGGGACCTGCTCTCTTTCCATGTACAAGTTAGTGATGAACATCCCTACTGCTCACTCACGACCCCAACTGCCCCTTTATGGGCTTTGTGATCTATCCCATGGATGTACCATAATTAATTATTCTTCACTCAGTTGGTAAAGAATCTGCCTGCAATGCAAAAGACCTGGGTTCAATTCCTGGGTCAGGAAGATCTCCTGGAGAAGGAAAGGAGAACCCACTCCAGTATTCTTGCCTGGAAAATCTCATGGACAAAGGGGCCTTGGGGGCTACAGTCTATGGAGTTGCAAAGAGTAGGACACGACTTAGCAACAAAACCACATAGATAGTTCAGAGAGAGTTACAATGGGCTTGTTTTTAAGGGCCAAGGGGGAACTGGGAAGCAACTCATAATTCTATACATACCTTCTCTTGGTCTCATTTAGTTAACACAACATCCACTGAATGAAGTATGCTCATCCCATCCTATAGACGAGCAAGCTGTGGCTCAGAGTACTGAAGACCCTCCAAGGACAGTCTAAGATGCTCCCTAACTAAGCAGGGAAACTCTGTTTTGTCCACACCACACCTTGTCTGGAAGCATTCTCAGCCTGGGGCTGTTGGCACAGAGTGGCTTTTGCTAAGGACACCAACCTGCAGGGAGCTCTAGAGGAACTGGGCTCCTGTGGGCCTCCTGTCCAAGATAAGTCATCTTCATCCAGGGAGGTCAAGGACGGGCTTGAATAGGAATCTCACCTGCTGTCCTCTGACACAGATGTTTGGGCCCAAAAGAGAAACCAGGAAAAATGAGGGGCTTATGAAGGTCCCAAGACCCAGACTGTCTTCTGACAGCAGATTAAAAAAAATGAATCAAATCTTCAAATTCCTGCTGTGCTTCTCCGGACAGATTAGATGAAAAGCCTTTCAGTCTTATGACCACGCGTCTACTCCTGTCTCATTCTTTTCTTGTCAACTTAATCACTTAACTAGAAACTGTTGTCCGTGATGGAAGAAATAAAAGAGGACGGGGTGGGGGAGCACCCCAAGTTATTCCCCCAGCGCATGATGGTAGAAGGCGTGGCCCTTGTTACAGGTGTATGGCAGGTGAAGCTCAGGCAGCTGACCGTTCCTGACTTTGCTCCTGGTAACGAAGAGAATGTTCCCTTCCATCCTGCAAGGCTTATCTCAAACAAGGCACTTTTTGCTTAGTCCTGGCCGATGTCTCATTCCCTTGGGTCTAGAAGAGGTAGAAGCCTTAGAGATGCAGTTTCTTTTTTTTTTAATTGGAGGATAATTGCTTTACAATGTTGTGTTAGTTTCTGCTATACAACAGCATGAATCAGCTCTGTGTATACATATATCCCCTCTCTCTTGAGCCTCCATCCCACCACCCCCATCCCACCCCCTGGGTCATCACAGAGCCCTGAGCTCCCTGCGGTCCCTGTGCCATATAGCTTCCCACTAGCTGTCTATTTCACACATGGTAGTTCTACTCTGTCCCTTCCTCCGACCTCCCCTTCCCCCGCTACGTCCACATGTCCATCCTCTATATCTAGAGATGCAGGTTCCTGCCTGAGCTGCCCCAGATCATTGATGACACGTGTGGGGGCCCCCATGTGGCTCCGATTCCTGGAACAGCACTCCCTTGCTCTTCTGGATGTTGTCATGGGCTGGGTTCTCTCTGCCTGGGATTTTTCATGACACATCCCTGGTGTTGGACTGGGAGATGGGACAAGGGTTTCAGGCAGAGGGAGCTCAGTGAAGAAAGATGTGGGCCTTGCCTGTACTGGCTGCTGTCCCAAGTCGTTCCCAGCTCTCTCCAGTGAGGTTGAAGCTCACTTCCCACCCAGCACACGAGGCGACCAAGGCAGAGAGATGATGTGACTTAACTGAGAAGGGACAGGATCAGGGCTGTTAAGTGTTGCTGTTCCCCCTCTTCCTTCTCTGTGCGGCGCTGAGAGTTACAGGGCCTGGCCCTTGGCCTGAGGCTGCTTGATAATTGAGAGGAGGAAGATAAGGTACATCTGAGCTGCAGATATGTAACATGGATTCTACAGGAATGAACGTGACGAATGGATGAAGTGGGTTAGTTGCTCAGTCGTGTCAAACTCTTTGCAACCTCGTGGACTGTGGCCCACCATGCTCCTCTGTCCATGGAATTCTCCAGGCAAGAATATTGCAGTGAGTAGTCATTCCCTTCTCCAGAGGATCTTTTCTGACCCAGAATTTGAACCCCAGTCTCCGGCATTGCAGGCAAATACTTTACCATGTGAGCCACCAGGGAAGCCCAGAATGGGTGAAGGAAAGGTGGTAAATACACCATACAATATAATAACTCTGCTTAAAGCAGAAGGAAATCCTGCCATTTGCAACAGCATGGTTGAACCTGGAGGACATTATGCTGAGTGAAAATAGCCAGACAGAGAGGGGCAAATCCTGCAGGATTCCATTTACAGGACAATCTAAAACAGTCAGACTCAGAGAATCAGAATAGAATGGTGTTGCCAGCGGCTGGGGAAGGTGAAAATGGGAATTTTCTTGTTTATTTGTGGCTTTTTCTTGTGTCTGTTCATAACTATCTAGTCACTCAGACTTAAAACATTTTTTGAATAGATAACACATGCAAATATTAAATAAAATATTGAATAGTATATAAGGGTATTTTAGGACTTTTCCTTTCATCCCCATTTCATCATTTCCTGGTTCCCCTCCTTACAGAAAGCATGGTCACCAGTTCCTTATAAGTCTTCCAGTAATATTTTATACCAACGTCTCCTGTGTCTCCTGCATTGGCAGACAGGTTCTTTACCAGCAGCGCCACCTGGGAAGCCCTAATATTTTATACATATAGAGGCCAATACACACACACATATATATATGCGTATGTATGTTCTCAGTCGTGTATGACTCTTTGTGATCCCATGGACAGTAGCCTGCCAGGCTCCTCTGTCCATGGGATTTTCCTGGCAAGAATACTGGAGTGGGTTGCCATTTCCTCCTCCTGGGAGTCTTCCCGAGCCAGGAGGATCGAACCCATATCTCTTATGTCTCCTGCACTGGCAGGCAGATTCTTTACCACTGAGCCACCTGGGAAGCCCAGAATGTATGTGTGTGTGTGTGTGTGTGTGTGTATATGTGTGTGTGTGTGTGTGTATTGGCTGCATTGCCCAGCTTGCCAGATTTTAGGTTCCCAACCAGGGATCAACCCGAGCTCCCCGCAGTAGAAGCATGGAGTCCTAACAACTGGACCACCAGGGAAGTCCCTATATGTATATTTGTATATATATATATATATATATAAAATGGTATTCTTTTTAAGGGCAGTGTGCCATAATTACTGAACTGGTCTCCCATTGGTGGATATTTAGGTTGTTTCTATTTTTTTTGCCGTTAACATCAAGGCTGTAGCAGATCACATTCTTGGTGGGCCAGGTCTGTCTCTAGAATGTTCAGAAAGCCATGACACTGCACTGCAACCTGTCCACCGTTTTATAGATGAGGAGGATGAGGCTCAGGTCACACAAGAAGCGAGGGCAAGTCTGAGGTTCTGCCCGGGCCTCTGTGACTTAAAGCCGGCTTTTCTTCCACCTTCCCCCACTGTTCCTCATTTCTGCCGGAGGCCTTGGGAGCTCAGGACTCCACGGCTGACCATATAAAGCGTTAGGGAAAAAGTGAAGTCGCTTCCTAATACGGTCACAAGAGGGAAACCCTAGGCCTGCAGCTGGGACCTGCTGGTGGCACAGGGCCCTGAGAGGCCGCTGGGACATGGGAGGCAGGGAATGCTGAAAACCTCTGAACTTGACCAGCTCAGAAGGGGCTCGTGGGGATGGGGCGGCAGAAACACAGCCAAGCGCAGGAGGGCTGCGTCAGGTGAGATCAACCAAGCTGGAACAATAGAGGCTGAACCCCTAGATTCTGAAGCCCAGCCTCTGTGTGGGGTGTGCTTCCATCTACCCAGTCCTTCCCATTGGGCCATAGTGCCCTGGAAAGATGTGCTGAACTGGACAGAGATTCAGATCTTCCTGGAAGCATGGATTAAGTGCTTGTTGTGTACATCGCACCAGGCGGTGCCCTAGGCAAACAGGAGGAAGGTGATATTTCTCCTTCAGAAGCTGATGATGGAGTTGGGAAAGCCACACCTGTCTCCCTTCCTTCCTTCTTCCGTCCCTCCCTCCTTCCTCCCTCTCTTCCCCGCTCCTTCTTTCCTTCTTTCATTCAGCAAATATTTACTGGGTGTCTCCTATGTGCCTGGCCCTGTGCTAAGGGCTGGAGATATGATAGTGTGCAGCTCACAGTCTAAGAGGTGACCTTTAGAGTGAGCCCTGAAAGAGTAGATGCAAATGGCTCTGAGAAACTCAGGGGGAAGTGTTCCAAGGAGAGGGAACATTACGTGTGAAGTTTCCAGGGTGGCAAAGTTTTCATCATGAAACAGAGGGAGCATTGGGTGGTCACTAATAGTCATTGAGTCCCTGTTACACACCACCGCTGTGCTGAATGCTCCCCCAGAGTTATCTCACAGCGAACCGATGAAGGAGTGGCTGTTAACCCCTGCCCATTTTGCAGGTGAGGATAATTGAGGCTCAGAGAGAAAAAGAAACTTACACAGGGTCACACAGCCAAGACGTAGCAGAGTGAGAGTTACAAATAAGTCCTCAGTGGTCAATTCTATACTCTTAACCACTACCCTTTACTGCCCCTAGTTCCCTAGAGGGAGTGATTTGGATTGTAAGTGACATATTTTAAAAATGACATGGTGGTGGCAGTGGGCACAGCCTGGGAAGAGCTGGAGGTGGAGTTCAGGCCTAAAGAGGAGGGAGGGCGTGGCTGACCTTCATTCAAACGATCGACCATTCTTGGGCTCTCACTCCATGGAGGCCCTGAGCTGCGGACCGGGACACACAGGAACAGGAAACACACAGGCCTTGCCCTGGAACAGCTCTGCCACGTGTTCAATGAATGTCTATGGAGCAGCTACTGTGTGCAGCCCAGTGCCAGGCCCTGGGTCACAGAGATGAAGGCAGCACTGCCCCTGCTCCAGGGAAGCTTTATAATTAACTGACCCCTCAGGCATTCATATAGCAGGCATTTAGTGAGCACCTACTGTGTCCCTGAACTTGTTAGCACCTTATCTCTTCTCCTGCTGAAGTTTCTTGAGCAGTGCCCCCTCCTCGTGGGTTAGGGCCCTCTTGTCCTTGCTCCTATAATCCACAGGGCTCCATCCTTGTTCTTATGATGTTATTTTGGACGTCCTCATCTCCTTTTTGAAGGAGGCTTTTTGAGAACAGGAATGATCATCAATTTATTTGTTTCCAGCATTTAACACAGACTTGGTATGCAGTCGGTGCTCAATAAGTGGCTGATGGATGTTTAGATAGGGCTTGTGGGAACCTGGGAGATTACGGCCTCCCTCTCACCTCCCCCACCCCCAGTCCTGTTCCTTTTCAGAAACAGCATTTTCCCCTCACCCCGGATCAACTCTCATCATCATCGCCCCTTAGCCGACGGAGCCTGGGAGGGAGTCCCTCACTCGCCAACCAGCTGCTGCCGTGGCTGAAAGCCCTTTGTGGGCAGGTCCTTGGGTGTTTTGTCTTGCTCTGCAACCCCAGAGACTCACATGTGGGATGCATGAATGAATGAGAGACTGAATGAACAGATGATCGATCGTTTCTGTGGGACAGGAATAGGTCCACAGCTGATGGACAGTGCCCACGCCTCACAGTGGGGGGCTCAGTGCCGGTGACTTCGATCGAGGGGCTGAACGTCTCCAGTGTTCGCTTTGCTCTGAGTGTAACTCAGGGATGGACTTTCTGCTCCTCCTCCTTTAGTCACTTTCTGGGGGAGTTGGAGGGAAAACGTGCTTTGTGGCCACCGGAGGCTTGGGCAGCGCTGATGTTATCGTTTGGGAAAGCAGTTCCTCTGGGACAGGTTGGCGCCTGTCTCCTGGGCTCTGAGCTCAGCCCGTGGGAAAGGCCAGGATACAGTAAAGAACAGTAGTAATCAGGACCACGCCTCCCCCGCCCACAGCACAGAGGGACGTGTGAGCATCTTCATACCCCTTCCTTGTTCTGATCAGTTTCAGATGTTCCTCTGCACTTGGTAGGGCAGGATGATTTTTTTTAACTAATTAATTAATTTTTTTGGCCTTGCTGTGCAGTTTGCTGGATCTTAATTCCTGGACTAGGGATTAAACCCAGGCCCCCAGCAGTAGGAGGTCCTAACCACTGGACCCCCAAGAACTCCCAATTTTTTTTTTAATTGTGATAAAATCCATATAACCAATTCATGATCTTAATCAGTTTGAAGGGAACAAGTGCATTGATACATTCACAGTGTAGTCTAACTCCCACTGCTATCTAGTTCCAGAACATTTTTATAGACCCCCAAAGAAACCCATTCCAACTAGCAGTCACTCCCATTCCCCCGTCTCTCCAGTCCTGGGAAACCAGAGACCTGTCTTCTGTCGCTATGGATTTGCCTGTTCTTGACATTTCACGTAAGTGGAACCGTGTGATCCATGACCTTCTGTGTCTGACTTCTTTTGTTCAGTGTACTGTTTTCAAGGTTCATCCATGTTGTAATGTGTAAGTACCATTCCTATTTAAAGACAGGTGTGTTTATCCCCACTTTACAGATGAGGGACTCTGTCCTTTATCATAGTTGAGGAGAGTATGAGCTCTGGGGTAAGAAGTCATGATTTTAGTTCTGAATTTCCCAGCTGCTGCGTGACTTGGTAAGAACTTCACTGAGCCTCAGTTTCCTCATCTGTCAATTGGGCCACAGGGAAATTACAGTACCCCTGTCAGAGGTCAAATGTGAGGATTAAAGAAGACGCCTGTGAAGTGCTTAGCTACGTGGCTGGTGCATAGTAGGTGCTCGAGAAATTGTAGGTGTTATTTAAGCCTGTGAGGCTCAGGGAGATGAAGTGACAGTGGTTGGGAGTGGCCCTGGGGTCTGAACCCAGAACTGTTTAAAACCACAGTTATAAATGGTGTCCTGGAAATCCAAACTTACCCCTTGCTCCTCTCCCCTGTACCTGAGGTCAGTGACGCCAGAAATTCCCATCAGGACGCTGAGCTTCAGTTTGTGTATGTGTGCTCAATTGCTCGGTTGTGTCTGACTCTCTGTGGCCACATGGACTATAGGTCACCAGGCTCCTCTGTCCATGGGATTCTCCAGGCAAGAATACTGGAGTGGGTTGCCATTTCCTCCTCCATCACGGCCTACCGGAGCATGCTGCAAGGTGAGCCACCTGCAGAGGCACAGAGCTCCTCCTCCAGGGGGCCCACCTGGGCTGCTTACAGTCACTCGCCAGGCCCCTCCTGTCCTGCCTGCCTGCAGTTCTCGCCAAGAATGTGGGGTTTGGCAGGCGGAGCTGGGTAACAGCAGGGCTGTGACTGAAAAAGGGAAAAAACAAGCAGAACAGATGTGTGCGCAGCCTGGGAGAGGAGGGAGGACAGATAGCTTGGGCAAATACAGGCGTGGGCTCGCCGACCCCTGGTTGCCCAAGGCCTGGGTGGGCCAGCCGTCTGGAAGATGGTAGGATGCTGTCACCTTGGAAGGGAAGCTGGTGGGCAATGGCCCTGGTGCTAAGCCAACCAGATCTGAATTTGCAGCCAGCTGTCACTCACACCCTGTGGGATCTTGTGCAAATGTCTTTTCCTCTCCAGCCTCAGTTTCCTCATCTGTAAAAAGGGAGTGAGAGGATCTATCTTGCAGCGTGTTGTACAGATGGTAAAGCAGGCTTTTCCACACTGAAGACCTTTGTGTATTACCTCCACATTTATGTATTATTATTACTATCATTAATAACTTTACTGTGGTAGAACATACATACAGTAGAATGCAAAAAGTACACAAATTCAGTGTCCAGGCTAAAATTAATTTTTACATGCCTACAGTCGTAATCACCACCCAGACCAAGATGGGAAATAGTTCTAGAAAGTTCTCTCATGCCTCCTCCCATAAATGGAATACCTCCTCCTATAAATGGATCTGGCCTTCAGATGCAAGAGTTCTTCTGTCCTTACACTTGAGAAAGGGCAACAGGAAAGAGCTTTGGCAGTTTTTTAAAGCTGTGCACAGTTTGTTATGTGATTTTTAGATGTGAAGAGCCTAGAGGTGGTAAGCCGGCAGCTGGTAGGCTGGATCCAGCCCTCAGATAAGTTTGGTTTTTGGTCCACATGGAGTTTTAAGGATACTTTAATTAGTTGCCAACTTTTAAAAATGTGAAGATTGTACATAAAAAGCCCGATTTCTAGGTTATTTTGAAAGTATTGGAACATCTGGCAACATGTGATCCCACCTGTCAGCCCCTCAAAAGGACATATGATTTCTCCAGTTCCCTAGTCCTCACCTGGCCTGGTGCACTTGGGTTTACTGCCTGGCTCCTATGCCTGGCTTTGCAACCCCTGGAATAGCTTCCTCCAAGAATGTTCTGAGTTGAGAATTGACAGGAGCCCAGTTCTGGAAGCTCCTGAGGGCAGGTGTACCTAAGACATATTACTCCCGCAACTCAAAGTAAAGGGGCTCAGGTAGAAGTTCCCCAAATTACTGACAGGGTTAACCATGCCCCACAGGTATGATTCAAACTAGACCATTCCAGACGGGTACTACCATTACTTCTAAAGACCAGAATATGGAGCCTTGCAAAGAGGATTGTGCGAGATATAATCTTAGGTTATAAAGTGATGACTCTTGGAGTTAGGTATGTGCTTTTGTGAAAAAAAATCCTTTGTAGTCTCTCCTGATGAAAGAGTATATGATGGTGGTTCACACACCTCTGAACATCACAAAGTTACAGTGTTCATATCATTTGGGGTGCTTTTGGTACAAGAAGCGTAGCAATCAATTAAAATGGCTTAAACAACAGGAATTTATTACCTCATATAACAAGTGGTCTGGATGTTCATGATTTCAGGCTTAGTTAATTTAGCAGCTCAAAAACAGACTTTTGGGGGATTTTCTTGGCTGCTTCCTCATCATCACAAGATGGCAACCATAGCTCCAGACATCACAGCCTCATGTGATAATATCCAAAAGCATGAAGGAAGTGAAGGGATAGGTTTTTTCCCTATGTCTCTTTTTTATGAGAGAAGAAAACCTTTTCCAGAAACTCATCAGCAGGCATCCCTTTTGTCTGTTAAGTCTGTTATGTCTTGATCACATGCAAACCTCTAAACCAATCATTGGCAAAGAGGACTGGAACATTTATGATTGGTTTGGACTATTCCTAGTTCTTTTCTGGAGCCGAGGGAGCTCTTTTGTTGTTGTTTAGCTTCTAAGTCATGTCTGACCCTTTTGCAACCCCATGGACTGTAGCCTGCCAGGCTCCTCTGTCCATGGGGTTTCCCAGGCAAGAACACTGGAGGGGGTTGCCATTTCCTTCTCCAGGGGATCTTCCCAGCTTAGGGATCGAACTGACATCTCCTGCATTGGCACTTAGTGCTCTTAGAATTTATATATGTAACTTTAGGAAACTTAGGGTTCTCCTGATGTCTCCGCAGGAAAGACTCTGCCTGCAATGCAGGAGACACAGGAGATGAAGTTTCTATCCCTGGGTTGGAAAGATCCCCTGGAGAAGGAAATGGCAACCCACTCCAGTATTCTTGCCTGAAAAAAAAATCCTATGGACAGAATTGCCTGGCGAACTACAATGTAAAGGGTCGCAAAGAGTTGGGCATGATTGAGTGACTAAGTACAACAAAAAACCTCTATCTTATATATTCCATTCTAGAAAAATTGAAACATATATTTAAGCAAAAGAGAATGTACTAGCACCCATAATCCTATCACCAGGGACCATCACCATTAATGTTTGTCTATGTAACTTTTCATACACTAACTGAGCTGGATGGCATGAAATGAAGGAGGTTATGACTATCTGAAAATAATTGGTTCCAGAAAAAATTTACTTAAAATGGGCATGTAAATTAAGGGGGAAGAGGTTTTGATGGGCTTAAAAAATGACATTGCAAATTATGAACACAGGCTTATTTATTCTACATGCAATAGGAATTTGGTGGTTATTGCAACTAGATGCTCTAATTCTTAGAAAGAGTATAAAATTAATTCAGAGTTGGGTGTTCTTGCCTTAAATTTTTTTGGAACAGAACCATGGGAGAGCATAAGACACCATTCTTCATGCCATGCTTGATTTCTGCAGCATGGGATAAGAAGATAATTTTTACAGACTTATTGGAGAAATCACCACTTTTGCCAAGGGTTTTGACTTCTTTGGTGTTTAGCACAGTCTCTCGAAGTCCTTGTTGTGTTATCTTTCCTGATGACTCCCTAATGTTTGGTTGTGAAGTGATCTGACATTTTTGGTGGCCTTTCGAACGTCACTGACGTGTGACAACGCACCTTCCAGGAAACAGGTGGTCTTGCAGAGCTGCCATTTTCTTTTGTGTTTGTATCGAGACGATGGATGTTGACACCCAATAGCTGGCGAGGTGAAGCCTTTGAATTAGAGGACAGCAGTAATGCAGACTAGAGATAGATGCTTTAGTGGGATCTGGTTTCCCAAAGACTTGACTCTTTGAAGAATATTTTTGTGTTTTGATAACTTTTGCCTCCCTAGACAACTTCCCATCCATGGGGCAATGTTATACTCCGTACACGGACCCCCAGGGCAAATGCATTTCATTCCTCTTAGGCTCTGTATTTTAACCCACAATTATATAGTGAAATATAAAGTTACTAGAAATTTTAAACCTCAAGAGAAAAATGGCTTCCATAAGCGATACGCTCTTTTTAGATTAAAGGCTAATCAACAGCTGCTATGTATGCATTTGTTTTGGCCTTACCTGGTGCTTTCTGGCATGAGTGATGACAAACTCTGATGAAAAAAATCTCCAAAAAAAAAAAATCAAGGAGAAAAAATAAAAGCTTAGGAAAAATCTTTCTTTTTTCTTTATAAAGTGGGAATTTGGTTTTTGTGAAGGAACGCGTGGGGCCGGTTTGTGACTCTGTTGGTGAATGTTGCTGTCCCAGGCTGTCCAGTCTCTGGGCTGGGATTGCACTGAACTTTCTGTCTTGTTGGAAGCATAAGTCAGCAGTTTTGGCTTTCTCTTCAAGTCCTTTATGAAACAGGGTGGCGTGTGGAGAGAGAGGATTGGGAAAGGGTGGAGAACGCATTCACTAACACAGAATGAAATGTTTAAAATTTGTCATGTGGACTCTTAAGTTCCCGAGGCCCCCTAAACTCCATGAAACCCACAAACACCATGCTTGTCTGCCTGCTCATCATGGAATCTCTGGGATGTGTGCTGGTGCCTGGTATGGAGTAGCTGCTCAGTTAATACTTGCAATGAATGAAGGAAGAACTCTCAGAGTTGTTGAAAGAAAAGAACCAGGGGCTTCCCTGGTGGCCCAGTGATGAAAACTCCATGCTTCCACTGCAGGGAGTACAGGTTCGACCCCCTAGCCAGGGAACTGAGATCCTGTATGCTGCTCAACCCGGCCCAAAAAAAAAAAAAAAAGTTGCTTTAATTAAAAACTCTTTTTAAAAAAAGAAAAGTACTGACCAGGGTCAGGATGGGTGGGGTGGGTTGTCCAAGAGTGGTGGGGGAGTTACCAAAGCCTCTATGACTCACTAAGAGGGGAAAGGATAGGGCGGAGCATTCTGGCTGAGAATAGTAACAAGTGAGTTGGGAATATGGGAGGGGATTTCTAAGACATAATTCATTCACAAGCCCCTCCCCAAATGAAGCCAGGCCCCAGTAGGGAGGAGACAATGAGAGAAGTCAGCTTTTAAAATATGTCTTATGTATGTGTATGTGTAAATGATATCGTATGTACTTTTTACATTTCCCAATGTTTTTTTGTTTTTGGAGAGATGATAGATTCAAATTCAAAAGCTGACCATTCTCCCTTTCAACCCTTGTGCTCAAGACTCCTAGTCTGCCTCCCCAGAGATAACCATGGGGTTATTATTCTAGTTTATTAGATATTCTTAGATACTCTCCTAGAGATATTTTCTGCACATGTCTGAAGATACACTTCCATTTTTCTCTTCCCAAGTTTTCCCCACAAATAGTAACATTCCGTATGCACTGTTCTGCATGCTGCTGGAGTGTTATAGGCCTGAAGGAATTCCTTACTCCTTTTTTACACTTTTAGCTTTCATCTTTATTGAAGGTTTACATGAAGATGATTTAGTCAGTTCCTTGAGGCTTGTTAAGAAAAAATCACTCCTTGGTTGCTTCTCTAATTTCCCCTTCTCCAGGGATAACCATGATC